AAAAAAAAAAAAAAAAAAACTCAACCTAAAAACGTTAAAAATAAAGATAACGAGGACAAGAACATGGTAGGGCCAGGTACAGGCTCATGCCCGTAATCCCAGCACCTTGGGAGGCTGAGGCAGGAGGACTGCCTGAGGCCAGGAGTTTGAGACCAGCCTAGGCAACATAACAAGACCCTGCGTCTATAAAAAATTAGCCAAGCCTGGTGGCGCACACCTGTAGTCCCAGCTACTTGGGAGGCTAAGGTGGGAGGATCACCTGAGCCCAGGGGTTTGAGGCTGCAGTGAGTGCCCCACTGCACTCCAGCCTGGATCACAGAGCAAGACCCAGTTTCTAAAACAAAAACCAAAAAAAGTGTGCAACTCTCCGTCCCTGGTCCCTGGGCCCCCTTCCTTGAAGAACAGGGAGGCCTCCCTGCCCCTGTGGCTGCGCCTGGAAAGCCCCGAGTGCCCCGGCCCCTGTGGGGAAACAGGCAGCCCAAGACTCCCCCCAACCTGGGGCAGACAGAGGGCCAGGATGGGGCCTCCCGGAGGCCCTAAGGCTTCCTGACCCAGCCAGGCCAAGGGAGGCCAGCGCCTCCCCAACACGCCGCCACGCAGAGGCTGTGCGGGACGTCCGGGGTGGCCAGAACCATGGCAGCATGGGCCCGAGGAGCTGTGGCCCGAGAAGGTTTCACCCAAAAGCCAGAAGGGGAAAGCACCCCCAACACACGTAAGCAACCCCCAGGGAACCAGGATGCCGGGCAGATGCTCCCCCTCCCCAACCCCCTCCCTTCTGTCTGACGGAGGAGAGAGGACCAGTCGAAGGTAAGAAAGGTCCAGGAACATCTCCCTGCAGGGCCACCTCACAGTTGTCCAGGCTGCTCACTGCACAAGGTCAGCCCTGGGGCCTGCCAACGGACTGTGCCCTCTGCCCTGAGGGGCCCGTCTTTTCACATAAAAACACCCTCTGGGCTGGGCTCGGTGGCCCAGCCTGTAATCCAAGTACTGTGGGAGGCTGAGGCGAGTGGATTGCCTGAGCCTGCAGGTTCGGGACCCGCCTAGGCAACTTGGCGAGACCTCATCTCTTCAACACATCAAAAATTAGCCAGGCATGGTAGTGTGCACCTGTAGTTCTGGCTACTTGGAAGGTTGAGGTGGAAGGATCTCCGGTGCCCAGCGCATCGACACTGGGGTGGCCGTGAGCATGCCACTGCCCTCCAGCCTGGGCGAAGGAGTGAGACTCTGACTCAAAAACAAATCCTCTGGGCCCTGGGGGCCCTGCTTCCCCCCACCCCCCCTGCCCAGCAAGGCAGCCCTGCAGGGCCACCCACACCCAGGTGCCCGGAAAGGTGTGCAGCTTCCCCCAGAGCAGGACTCAGCACAGGGCGAAGGCCCCTCCCAGGTGCCCCCAGAGGGTCCTGTGTTCCCCAAAGGCACCTTCCAGGGTCTGGGGGCCATCGGTGGGTGGAACCGCCTTCCCGGGCAGGGCGGGGCTGCCCTTTACCTAAGCAATCTTCTCGTCACCTAAAAACCAGGCTCCCCTGGCAAAGTTAACAGGCACCCAGTTTTGTTTTATTTGGGGGTGGCAGGAGAGACATCCCATTGTGTTCTGGGAGGCGCCGCTGCGGGCTCTGGCAGTCCAGCCTGTGCTCAAAGGGGTGGGCTCCCTTTCCAACACCTGAGGGCCCCGCCCGCACCCCGGAACATCGAGCAAGCTTTTCCTGTGAGGCCAAGCTGTGCTCAACACACTGGGGTCCCAGAGGAACCCTGGGGAGGGAGCAAGGGGCCTCGGCAGAAGGCCTGCCCCAAGCCTGGGACCCCGTCGGGGAGGCGCTCCCCAAACACGCACCCCCGGCTCCCAAGCCCGCAGGGACCTAGCCGTCCCTCCTGGTTCCTGCAGAGCTGGCGGCGCCCGCCAACGCGAACACACTCCCGCCCACCACTTGGCATTTTCATTTTGCTTCCTTCTCCATCCCTGCGGCGGGAGCCACCCACAGCTGCCACCTGGCTCCGGGAAGCCCCCCAGCCTGAAGGCCCCGCCCACCCAGGGGCTCCAGGGCAGCACATTCTTTGGGAATGCAAGGGACAGCTTCACCCAGGGGCAGCAACTCACCCTGCAGGACCCCAGGCTGTAGGGGCGTGGCTCCACCTGTCACCTCCCCTGGCAGGGATGCCACCCACACGGCCCTCCCAAGACCTCAGCCCCACAGGAGCCTACCAGGACAGGAACCCGGTTCCCCCAGGCGGGGCTGCCTGCTGCAGGTGAATTCCAGGTAAGCAACGAAGAGGGGTTCAGCACGCGTGTGCCTCTTAGTTGCACGGGACACAGCCACGTGCAGAAGGACTCGTTGCTCGCCTGAAACTCACATTTGCAGGACTCCTGCTGCTGTTTCTCGGTGTTCTTGTTTGTTTGTGCTCAATCGGGCACCCTACATACACTCAGACCCAATCCCGGATATACAGTTGGGGCGCAATTGATACCTAAATTCTTTTTTCCAGGTCAGTCATTGCAGATTTAAATCATGCTTCTCAAAAACGTTTCTACATCAGAATCACATTAGGGATCCATTCAAACACAGATTCCTGGACCCCAACAGGAATTCTTTTTTTTTTTTTTTGAGTGGGAGTCTCACTCGGTCGCCCAGACTGGAGTGCAGTGGCTGCTCCCGGCCACCGCAGCCTCGACCTGCTGGGCTCCGGCGATCCTTCCATCTCAGCCTTCTGAGTAGCTGAAAATACAGACGTGTGCTACCACGCCCGGCTAAATTTTGATTTATTGTGGAGATGAGGTCTTGCCAAGTTGCCCAGGCGGGTCTCGAACCCGCGGGCTCAGGCAATCCACTCACCTCGGCCTCGCAAAGTGCTGGGATTACAGACTGAGCTACCGAGTCCGGCCAGGAATTCTTTTTTTTGAAGTGAGGTCTCACTCTGTTACCCAGGCTGGAGTGCAGTGGCACCATCACAGCCGCCACAGTCTCGACCTCCTGGGCTCAGGTGATCCTCCCACCTTGGCCACCTGGATAGCCGGGACTACAGGCGTGCGCCACCACACCCGGCTAATGTTTTTGGTTTTCTGTAGAGACAAGCTCTCGCCATGATGCCCAGGCTGGTCTCGAACTCCTGGGCTCAAGCAATCCTCCCGTCTCGGCCTCCCAAAGTGCTGGGATGACAGGCATGAGCCCCCACGCCGGCCTTCCCACTAGGAATTCCACTCCCGAGGCTGACAGCGCCCAGGGATCTGGGCAGAGCCGCTGCTCTCAGCCTGACCCTGCCTTTCCAACGCGACCTGGCGAGCAGGATGCCAGGCCCGGGACAGAGTCGCCCTTGGATCAAGGGAGCCGCCGCTCACTGGGGACCCGGGGAGGTTTCCCAGAAGCAGAGCCGACAAGGACGTGTTTCCGCGCAGACGCCCCAGGTGGAGCGCCGAGGGCGGGGCGTTACCTGGTACCCACCTACAGCCTCGCCTCCTGCAGCACCGCGCCCTTGGGAGCTGGTGTCATCAGGGATTCAGAATAGGCCTGAATGGCCTCCTTATCCTGGGGGCCCTTTTTACTACTACTCCAAAACAAATAGCACTTCTCCTGGAAGACAACCAAGCTATTCATAGTTGACGAACACGCCAGGCACACAGACACACGGCAGGGCAGAATGCGGTTCTCTGATTGTTAGAAGGCAAGGAGACAGCGAGAGACAGATCTGAGAGGCCAGCGACCCCAACACACACAGTGGCCAGGAGGGGGGTCCGTCCCCGTGAGGGACACGCTTGGGAAGACGGACTCTGAGGGCCAGGGAGGAAGCCACGGGGAGGGGGCCACGCCGCCCAGAATCAGTGGGTGGAGAGGGGCACGTGAAACCAACCGGGAACAAACAGGTCTTTCTGTTAAAACGCTTGCGATTTTTAAAAAAGCGACTTGAGAAAAAAACTTCTCTGAAGAGAAGTTAAAATAGGTTGCGTTACCAGCATGCAACTTTTTTTTTTTTTTTGGGGTTGGAGTCTCACTCTGTTGCCCGGACTGGAGTGCAGTGGCACCACAGCCTCGACCTGCTGGGCTCCAGCGATCCTTCCGCTTCAGCCTTCTGAGTAGCTGGAACTACAGGCGCACGCTACCGTGCCCGGCTGATTTTTGGTTTATGGTAGAGATGAGGTCTCGCCGAGGTGCCCAGGTGGGTCTCGAACCCGCGGGCTCAGGCAATCCACTCACCTCGGCCTCCCAAACTGCTGGGATTACAGGCTGAGCCACCGAGCCCAGCAGCACGCAACTCTTAAAAACAAATCAGGACAAATACATAAGAGCAGGTGAGGCCTGACCCTGTGGAGTCAGAATCCACATGGATCAGTGTCACACACGTGGCCTTCATGGAAGCCTGCAGAGAGGGGCTCAGCCTCGGGGGCAGGGGCCTCTGGGAGGAGCACCCTGGCCAGCAATCCCATGCTGTCTCCTGACCCTTCTTCCCCTTCCTGTCCGGTGGTCGATTAGAAGAGACAGGGGATGGGGCCGAGGATGGCGTGGCCTCCTCTGGCCCAGCCCTTCTGCCAGGCCCCAGGGACCCCTTGTGTGGCTGTGTGTGTCCTCCTAGCAACGCTCCAGTGAGGCCCTGCTCCAGGGTGGACTCTTGGGCTGGGACCCTGGTTCCCTGCTCCCTGCATGATACAGTCTGGAAGCTGGAGGGGTTCCTTCTGCTGCTGGGGTCACAGCCCTGTGGGGTGGGCCCTGGGGAAGAGAGGCCCCCCCAGGCCTGGCCACACTCAATCCCGGGGCCCAACTGTGACAGCTGATGGCCCTGGCCACCACACCATGAACACCTCCTCCCCCAGGGCCGTGGAGGGTAAAGAGAAGTGCAGCTGTGTCTGAGGCCCAGGTGAAAAACCTGGATGAGTTTATCATCATCCCAGCATACACACACGCACGCACGCACGCTTCCTCTGAGAAAGGTGGGAAGAAGAAAGACAGAAAGATCTGGATCATCAACACCGAGGCGCAAAGCAGGTGCCAAGGGGGACCCAGGTCCAGCAGCGGGCTGGGCAGTCCTAACTTTTTCTCTTTTATTTTTACTCATTTATTTTTTTTTTTGATTGCCCAGACTGGAGTGCAGAGGGCGCTCCCAGCCACCGCAGCCTCGACCTGCTGGGCTCCGACGACCCTTCCGCCTCAGCCTTCCACGTCGCCAGAATTACAGGCGCGCGCCACCACACCCGGCTGATTTTTGATTTATTGTAGAGATGGGGGTCTCGCCAAGTTGCCCAGGCGGGTCTCGAACCCACGGGCTCAGGCCATCCACTCACCTCAGCCTCCCAAAGCGTGGGATTACAGGCTGAGCCACTGAGCCCGGCTTATTCTTTTTTTTAAGAGACAGAGTCTCACGCTGTCACCCAGGCTGGAGTGCGGTGCTGCGACTGTAGCTCACTGCGGCCTCGACCTCCCGGGCGCAAGGGATCCTCCTGCCTTGGCCTCCCACAGTGCTGGGATTACGGGCGGGAGCCACCACGCCCGGCTGGCACGGCACGTTTATCATCATCGGAGAAATCGCCTTTTCTGCTCACTCCCTTGGTTGTCGCCCGTCTTCCCCGTGGACTGCCACCCCGTCCCCCGAGCAGGGACCTCGGCTGGCCTGCCCACTGTTGTACCCGAGGCACCCCTGGTAGGACTTGAAGAAGCAGTGATCGCAGTTCTAGGGCTGGGGACTCAGGGCCCGGCCGTCCAGAGCAGCGGAGAGGAGGCGAGGCAGGGGGCAGAGAGCCCGGAGGCGGCGGGGCCCAGGCACGACCCCCCTCCCGTCCCCGCCGAGGCGCCCCCACCCCAAGCGCGCTCCGGCCGCCGCGGGCCCCGCCTACCTGGCTCCGCACGTGGTAGGCGACGGGGACCAGCAGCAGGAAGCAGCCCAGCGCCAGGAGCACGTACTGCGCGTAGTGCAGCACCTTGGGCAGCAGCACCAGCTGCGTGTAGAAGGTGCGCAGCGGCTCGCCCTCCATGGCGCCGCTCTGCGAGGCAGGGCAC